TCCCTCCCTAAATTAAAGTGACTATAGAATTCCAGACTGCTTTGAAGATTGCTCTCAATTATGCAGTATTTTTTTTCCATGACAATTTCCACATTTGTGCTAGCAGTTTTTTATGTTCTTTATAACCTGCTAATCAGAATGTTACCAAATTAACAGTTAATTTTTCTGTACTATTAGTATTTGTTTATGATTGGTGAAATACTACTAAGGTTAAAAGATTGCTTCAGGTTTTAATTTTCTTTTATTCTCTTTTCCCTCTTCATTACACCCTGGCACCTAATGGCCATAAAAACAAACAATAAAAGTTGAATTGAGTTATAATAATTATTAAAATATTATTAGATTAAATTTTATATTTGAAAAGAAAGAAGACAAAATTTCATTGTGATACTTTTCATACTCTAAAATGAGATAATGAGATGGTCAAATAAATATTCAAAGCATAATTTAAGCTCACCATTTCTGTCTTTCCATTTTCCGTATTAACAACTATTGAAGTTTTAGTAGAAATTTTGTAAAATATTTTTGACTGTATCATTTTTTAAATTCAAGTGACCTAAGACGACATAGTTCACTACTATAAGGTGGAAAGTAGAACTTAAAAGAAGCCTCCTGACATGCTTAAATTTATCACAAGAATGCATTAAAAGATATCTTAGATTAAGATCTCCCACAAAGGTAGATTTCTAAGGGGACTTACTCAATTTTTAACAGTCTAGTTCTTAGCAGGATGAATGAGAATAACATTAGCTGAAATTGAAAGCGTTAAGTCACTTGCCGAATTAAGTCTTCTAAATTTGGACAATTATTTTCCAGTCTGTTTGATGCTAACACAATTAAAAGAGATTAATTTGGTAGTATTCAACTTGGTTTCTTTTGTTGTTGTTGTTTAATTCTTTGCCCTAGAATGGCTAACAATGAAAACAGGTAGTATGCGGCATCGCTGCTAGAACCACTGAATCCAACAATATCAGAAGTCTGGCGGCATGTGCCTCCACTTTCAGAGGCTCAGATAGATTTTATAAATGTTCTGAGTTCCAAGAATATCAGTAATATTTACTGTACACCTACTATGTTTCAATTATTGTGGTTTACATTATAAAGGATGTAAGGTTTTCAAAAGACATCGGTGTCATAAATTCTGCCCTTGAGTGCTGTTATATTTCTTCTTTTTAAGCTAGATAGAGATAGAGATAAAAGAAATAAATAAAAAATATGTTTTATGATGTGGTAGATTAATTTCCTTGAAGAGCATTAGTTTCCATCTATTTCTGGGTCTACACCTTTTATCGTTTAACTTTATAAGTCTCTCTCATTCTGATTCTGGTCCTAGTCATGTGATTTGCTTTGGTAAATGGAATTCTAGAAGGTATGATACAAGCAGAGACTTGATAAAGCATTTGCACAGTTTTGCTTGTGCTTTTTTCCCTCTGCTATCACCATGAAAAAGACATACTAACGAGTTTGTTGAGGGATGAGATCTACAGAGCAGTCAGGTTTACCTCAGCATCTCAGCTGAGGCCTCTTAAATTAGCCAACAGCCAGCTGACCTATAGACATATGGGCAAGTACTGTTAATATTAGGATTCACATATCAACTGCACTAGGTTCATGATTAATGGATACTACTAGTGTGTGTCACTGAGACTTTTTTTTCTTATAGACCATTATTAAGGCAATAAATATCTAATACAAATAGTACTAAATTATAGTCTAAATATTGTGGAAGATTCTCGAAATTTAGGTTCCTGTGAGGACTTAATCAGAAAATGTATGATAATCTTACACTTAATAATCTTTCAATGGTTGTTTATCATCTCCTTCTCCTTCAAAAATTCCCAAATGATCTTTTAAATTCAAAATAATGTGTGTGAACATAAATAAAAGTGTTAGATAAATAATTAACCCAGTCATAAAGAGATACGTTTGCCTGAAATGAACATCAGCACAAACACAAATATGTCTATGCACTCATGTGCATAAACAGACGTACATATGTCACAAACTTCCAGTTTTAGGGACACATTTTCCTTCAGATTTTAGATAGAATATCATGAACTTTTTTTCTATACAATCTGAGCTGTTGCACACTTCATCTCCATATTTTAAGAGTTTGGGGGGTGAGAAATAGGGATGAATGACTAAAATATTTCCTGATTGATCCATTCAGCCACCTGTTCCTCCAATGCCAATAACCACTGGCAATCCTGTTTCAGTAATTCATTTCTAGCGACTGTCATTTTCTTATTTACTTTTTTATGTTCAGGATATATCTCTTTTCTTCTTCCCTCGATAGTGTTCTTGTATAGATGAAATATGTTGAATGTTTCTGGATGGCAAAGTATAGTTACAACACAGGACATAACAGAACTTTAAATTCTGCCTATTCTAGATGCATACCTGTATTTTTACATCAAAGAAATTATTTCCCCTGCCCGTGTATTATCTTATTGCCTTCTTTTGTTATCTGTCTTTATCCTTATAAATTTCCTCATCCACCAAGCACTATACACACAAATCTGAAGGTATTGTAAATAACAGTTCACAAATATGACTGTAGTTATTTTTTTATTTGAAAAAATTTACTCTTTGTTTATACCTTTTATTTCAGACTGTCCTGGAGTGAGCAATATTGGATGGTGAGTAATTCAATTCACTTTTTACTACGCTATCAGAATATTTCTAGATTAGCCATAACAAAAAGAGCCCTTCTTCTATCTCTACTTTAAAGCATACCTGATTACTCAAATAATTTATTTGAATGGTATATATGTGGAAAAATGTATACATTTAATACATATTTAAATATATGTATATATGTGTTTTGTATTAAAAATTTAAAGATAATATTCAATGTATTTATGATATCAACTCTTCCAGGACATGGTGACTAAGGTATTGATGAAATATTAAGAAGATATAATTAAGCAAAAATCTTATCTAGTGCTATTGAGATAGAATTCTTTGGTTGCCATGGTCATATTGTATTTAGATTGTCTTCTCTGTCCATTTCACTATGTATAAAAGTTCTGGGTGGTTTCTTTTCCTGTAGTTTAAATTTCAAATGCAAGAATATACCACATCTAAGAGTTTAATATTTCAACTTCAGATGAAGAAAGTTATCTATGCTTATTCTAGGGCCAGATGAATGATTGTTCTACCTTAAGAGTGAGGTTAAGATTTTTATTTTTTAAAGTTAATAAATAAGAAGAATTAGATAAAATGGTTTGAATTAGAACAGACCAAGGACATATTATCTTTGTATGAATTGAAGCCCTAGTGTTGATTTTAAGCAACTTATTAAAGATAGAATCTGATGTAATGAACATTAATCATTTTAGTTTTTGCTGCCCTTCATGGAGCATTTGTAGTTTTGAGAATTTCTAATATTAGGAAAATGAAAATCTTTCTTCCCAATACAAAAGGCAAAAACAATATATTTACAATCCTTCCTCAATTATGCCAGTTACCTGGCTTTATAGTACAATTTATTCTAGAGTGATAGTGACTAGCTTAATATATCAGACGTTAGCATGTATCTAATTGCAGGTGTATAAGGCTTTTAGTACTTGAAGAATAAAAAGCAATAAAGGAGGTTTGAGAATGAGTGGATGGACCACTCAAAATCATTCTATATTCTGAGTCTCAGAAGAAGCTGCTTTTGGGGTAAAATACTTAATAACCACATGGAGGAGAAAGACCCACTCTGTGAATGTCTTCTTTTAGTCCTCTCAAGGTGCTATAACAAAACATCACAGACTCAGTAGCTCGTAAACAGTAGAAATTTATTTCATACAGTTCTAGAGGCTGAAGGTCCAAGATCAGGGTGCCAATTCAATTGGGTTCTAGTGAACACCCTCTTCAAGATTGTGGAAGCACACAATCCTACTCCAAAGCAGTCACTGTTTCAGATATCAAGGATTTATTTATTTTTATGTCTTTATTTTATTTTTTTGAGAGATGAGACAGACAGTGAGTGGGGGAGGGGCACAGAGAGAGGGAGACACAGAATCTGAAGCAGGCTCCAGGCTCTGAACTGTCAGCACAGAGTCTAATACGGGGCTTGAACCCACGGTCTGTAAGATCATGACCTGAGCCGAAGCTGGATGCTCAACTGACTGAGCCACCCAGGGGCCCCTAGATATCAAGGATTTAAATACATTATATTTGGGTTCACCAGGTAAGTTCTGCCTATTGCTATGACTGAAAGTCCAACATTCTAGCATCAGCATTCATGTCCCCTTGATATACTACCGTATCTTACAGTAACCAACCAGTCACCTAGTGTTAGGTTGACTACACTTCAATGAAAAGATGATTAATTTGGAGAGAAAATTTTTATTACTGTATGTGAGCATTTCCCATGCTCATGATTCTTGTATTTGTAAACGAGATGTTTTATAAAACATAAGTGCTATTCACCTTCTACAATAATTATTCAGTGGGATTTTTAGTTAATTCCATCTTACATTTCATAACTTTCATGCTGCTGAGTGAATGGAAAAATATAATGAATCTATGGTATTATCTAGGAAAGTTTGTCTTAACTACCAAGGAGGTTCTGGGGAGGGACTATACAATGCAGTCAGAGAGGAGATGGAACAGACTGGAGGAGGTTGAGGAATAGAAGAATACTATCTCAGTGCTCTGTCTGGTAATAATAAAAGGAGCATTATAGCTGTTTTATACAATCAAGATAAATAAGAATTCAGATTCCTCAGGACCTGATCATTTGGAGTAAAAATATCTTTAAAAGTATTCAACATCATAAGCTCTGAACCATAATTTGGTGCAAAGCAAGTAAAACATGCACATAAATGATGTCTTGTTATATAAAAAATCATGGCTTACTACAAAAGATTCTAACAGTAAATATGAAAGACAATGTGACTCAATGGAAGACTTTCAATATACTAAGTGAAGACTCAAGTTAGAGTTGTAAATGGCAATGACTCCTCAAAGTAAGACAGTGATGGGGGGAAAAAGACAACATTGCTTTCTTTATTTATGATGTGGTACACTTACTCTTTTTCTAAGACAGGGAAAGAATCAACTGATCTCGGAAAGTTAATCCTAGCTCTAAGACTGTCAAACTTTAGTTAGGCAATCTTCTTCTTCCAGGTAACTATCATCATGCTTTTCCTTTCTGTTCATATTTATCAAACTGATTAAAGTCACATCATTCCTTCTCAGTAAATTTCCATCCCAAATATTAATGTGATATTTCAGGATGTAGATTATCTTCCCTACATGGATATTTAATATCTGGATTGCAAGATACATCAGATTCCTTTGCAAAGAACTAACCTGCAAAGTAAATTTTATAAATCAGTGTGATACATTCTACATATTAGATGTTGATCAATACAACAACAAATTTGTTTATTCATCAATCTATTTAAGGAGTCTTATTAAGTTGGTTTCAGGTTTACCTTTTTAGGAGAAATTCCATTATTAAAGAAAAGCTATCACTAGATTTGTTCAAACTTTTTAAATGTTTCCACCCACTAATTTTATTTAAAAAACATTTAAACAAAAAAGAATGAACCAAAGAAACCCAAACACATTTATATATCATAAGGATTATAAAACAGCTTTACTTAAAAACAAACACTTAGAACATACTCCAGGAATATGCCTGCTCATGAATATTTTAGGTCTATTGCAACTTTCAAAAAAACCTGTATGAGTTACATAAGTAAGTAAGAAATATGTCTGAAGAGAATGGCATCTGTCCACTAATGGTTGTTCCCAAGGAGAGAGCATTTCTTCACAGCCTCTGCTGGTCATGGGTGAACTCTGTTGTTAATGGTCTGTGAATAGCATCATGGATACTCTCCTGGGGACAGGCCTAGTTGCTAATAATTTCTACCATGCAAATATGCTCATTGACCTACAATGGGATGAAAGTGCAGCCTTCTGAAGCTGTTTGCAGCAATTAAACTCAGTGCCCAGGGTGGATAATTTCCACCATCAGAACAAGGAAAATGGTTAACGCTGTGCTCTACCTTTGTCTTGCATCCTGTAATTTCTGTTGAAAGTCAGTGTTAAGTGACTTCTTCTACTGAGGGTTTCCAGCAGAGTAAATGTGTCTACATCATCACATATATGAAATTAGATAGTTTAGAAAATAATGATACTAATGGGAATCCCATGTAACTTTTCCGTACATTAATGCCTGAATTTTTGTTGTACTTTCACTAGAACCATAAAGATGTGTCAGTGGAAACTATAGCCTAATAGAGCTGTATACAGGCTCTAAATTGAAAGAGCCAGGGGAGAAGTCAGAGAGACATTTTACCCCTCACCGCATGAATTCACTATTATTCTTTGTTGAGTTATACTAATATACAATGCACTGTTCATTATTAAGTAGTTTTAAAAGTTTGATAAAGTGATAACACATTCCTCAAACAATAACCCAAACTGAAGAATAAAGAAAAATATGCTTCCCCCACCCCAACTACAGAAATTAAAAAGTGTAAGACAAAAGGTTGCATGTTTTGTGGTTCCTGTTCTCTTTTAAGCTATCAGAAGAGACTGGCAAAGAGTCTCATGTGTATTCGTTCTAACTATATCTTTTAAATGCCAGAAATTGCACCCTTTATAAAATATTTTTTTATTTACTGGGGCTTTTAATAATATGGATCAATCTATATAGTTTTTTTAATTTTTAATGTTTTTATTTATTTCTGAGAGAGATACAGAGAGAGACAGTGTGAGCAGGGGAGAGTCAGAGAGAGGGAGACACAGAATCCAAAGCAAGCTTCAAGCTCTGAGCTGTCAGCACAGAGCCTAACACAGGGCTCAAACCCACGAGGGACACCTTTGGAATCTCAGCTGGCTTTTTATCTTATACCTCAGACACTATGTTTCTTATAAAATAACTTATTTTCCTCTCTGAGGAAGCTTAGGATCAAATACTTGTTACATATCCAGAAAATATAGAGCACCAGTTGAATCAATTTTGAACTCCACAATGACATTGCTTTTATTTTCTTTATGTTATCATTCTCACAAATATTTGCTGTGCCTTTTGATATTGTTATTTTTGAATCTTAGGTAAAATATTGTTTTATAAATCTGGAGAGTAAGGAGAAACAACAAGATAAAAGAAGGAAAATAGGTTAATAAGATGACAGGAAAGAAAATAAAGGAAAGTATAAAAACAAAAAGAAAGAGGGAAGGAAGGAGGGAAGAGAGAAAGGGAAGAAGGAAAGATGGATTACCCAAAAAGGAAGCAAATGAATAGAAAGACCTAGGAAAGTTAAATTGGAGGAACTTTTGAAGAAAAGAAAACTAAAAGAAAGTTGTCTTGGTAGTGGGGAATAAATAAAGGATTTGGGAACAATTCCTTAGTTCAAATGACTGAAGCTGCAGAATACCGGACAATTATTTCTTGCTTAGAATACTATATTCTGAATAATACAAATCTATCATGGCTAACTGTACTTTGCTTAAATTTTGGAAGACTTGTAGAGCTTTCAGATCTCTCCCTCTCCCAATCACTGAGCCAGTCAATAAGATAGGATGAAATAAAATAAAATAATTTACAGTTAGGTAATGAAGCTTATATCTAATATTTATTTTTTAAATGATGAGTAGTAGTAGAAATAATTTATTATTTTATAATAAATCTAGAAGGAGTAAAAGACATAGGCATAATGCAGCAAACATCTGAGTGATTATTCATATAATCTTACAGCAATGAAGTTGGCTATAGCTAACTATTGGATTGATGGGAAGAGTTAAAGTCGTCCTCCAAAAATAGCCTTCAATAACTTATAGGAACAATAATGCAGAAGATGTTTGGAGACTTAAGATACAACTTAACAATAAGCTACTCCAAAGCACTGGAGTTGGTACCCCCTCAGTGGCCAGGAAAAAGAGCAATTCCAGCATTTGATGAGCTATGGTTATAGGTTAGCACATTAACACAGGAAACACATTACTCTCCTAAAACCTTATTTCAAAAATGTCTTAGAAAGTAAGATCTGTGTCTTATCATTTGTTACCTCACATAAAGTTGCCTCTTTTTGAAATAAAAAAAAAAAAATGACTTACTGAAAATCTACACTAATTGAACTCATCTACTCATATACACAAGCACATCAATACTAGATCAACCCATTAATTTTCCCTACTGGCCTTTTCTGGATGATTTTACATCACACTACATAATGGGGGTAGACTGGAAAACGTCTAGTTAACCTTCCTGCCCTCCTCTGCCCTGTTCTGTGTCTTGGGAGACTGACTATTAGGGACTGCATCAATTGGGTGCCCTTGCCTTCTAGCTTTGAGATGGATTTGACCAAAGAGCAAAAATAGCAGGAGTTTCAAGGAGAGCAAAATAGAGCAGGTTCTTTATTTTCTCACTCATTTGTAGTATGAGATTTATAGGGTCCAAGATGCTTTTCAACTATGTCTCCTACTCAGTAGTCTTTCTTATAATACACAGGCTCTCACTGGACTCTGGTGACCCCCCTTTTCCCCTCTATTCCTTCAGGAATACAGGGGTAAAATTTTATGCAATTGCTAGAGCCTCAACATCCTCTGTTGGTTGCTATACCCAGTTCACATTGTACCAAAAATCCCCTATTAATTTGTCTTCAAATAGTCAACTTTCATATCCTTCCATGATATAAAGGCAATATGTCAAAAATATATTCTAGCCTTATGACTGTGTCATGTTGGGCATAATAAACTGGGTTTGGAAAGCAATGTAGAAAACAATAATTACATCTTCAGCCTCATAGTATTATTAAGAAACAGAGAAAAAGTGATACTCTAAATACTTTTAGTTTTATATTTCCACACTGAGCATGGAGCTTGCTCAAGATTCTCTCTCTCCTTCTACCTATCGTTGCAGAGCATGAACTCTCTCTCTCTCTCTCTCTCTCTCTCTCATAAAAGTATATGGAGAAAACATTTATCATCTGGGAAGTATTATATAATTATTAGCTATCTCATTTATTTTATTTTATTGATATAAGTATAACTTATATGACCTGGAGGAAGAATACTTGAATTTGTAAAGAACTGTATTTTCTTTTATGGAGCCAATTTCCTGGCTTTCAGCCTATTAATTTAAGTTTGCATTTCTCCTAGCATTTTCAAAATTACTGTCATGGTTCATCTATATCTAATGGCACAGAATGTCTTTGGCCTTTAGTCATTTTTAATGACTTCTAAGTTCTTTAAAATCACTTAAATGAAATATTTTCTTTATTTGTATTATAACAGAAATCATGCTCTGAAATGTAAGGAATACAGAAACCTTTTAATTGAGTCTTTTCTTACATTTTGTAGTATTTATTTTTTTCTTAATTTTAAGTTTTGTTTGTGTTTTTACTTTCAAATATGATCTCTCTCATAATTAGAAATCATATCTTTCATTAATTCACTTAATGACAGAGGAGATAGTTTGAGTACTGACTGGGAAGACATTTATGTTTTATTGATTTGTCTTTTTTTCCTTGGAGAAATTTCTTCCTCAAAGAAAAACAAATGTCAATATAATATCAATATAGGGGCGCCTGGGTGGCTTAGTCGGCTAAGCGTCCGACTTTCGCTTAGGTCATGATCTCGCGGTTCGTGGGTTCGGGCCCCGCGTCGGGCTCTGTGCTGACTGCCAGCTCAGAGCCTGGAGCCTGTTTCAGTCTGTGACTCCCTCTCTCTCTGACCCTCCCCTGCTCACGCTGTCTCTCTCTCTATCCTAGAAATAAATAAAACATTAAAATTTTAATATAATATCAATATAAATTAACCCTCATGTAAAATGATTCAACAGAGGGTCAAAGAGAAAATTACGTGCAGTCTGGTTGTTTGTATTTTATACAATCATTAAAGATTTATTAAACCTCTTACTTTTTTTCTTAAGAGAAAAATAACATCCTTTATTATTTATTTTGTCATTTATATTTTCTCTTAAATAGTTTCTTTTCTTTTTTTTTTAATGTTTTATTTATTTCTAGGAGAGAGAGAGAGAGACAGTGTGAGCAAGGGAGGGTCAGAGAGAGAGGGAGTCACAGACTGAAACAGGCTCCAGGCTCTGAGCTGGCTGTCAGCACAGAGCCCGATGCGGGGCTCGAACCCCCGAACCACGAGATCATGACCTAAGAGAAAGTCGGACGCTTAACCGACTAAGCCACCCAGGCGCCCCTTAAATAGTTTATTTTCAAGTTGGTTTGCATATAACATGTAGTGCTCATCCCAGCAAGTGCCCTCCTCCATGCCCATCATCCCTCCATCACCTTCCCCCCACCCCATCAGCCCTCAGTTTGTTCTCAGCATTTAAGAGTCTCTCA